ACACCTGAGCGGTGTGGTCCCCCACTCGGAGCTCTTCACCTCAGTGACTGCCACTCGTTAAGCATATTGTATAATCATGGTATTTGGTGCAAACACAGCTTAGTTGTCCTCGGGTTGCTAATTAAGATAGGTGGGATGGTCACCTGGAGTTTGGTGCTGCATTCGCAGCATCTGCAAGAGCCTGGGTGGACCCTGAGTTAGTGCCCTCCTTCCGATGCTGCAGATGCAAAAAGCCCTTGCAAAATGCTTTTTGGGCAAGGAGTTTACTCACCCCCTGCAGCTGTGAGAGGCCTCGAAGGTGCCCCCTGACCACATGCCCCTTAAAAACCCCACTCTATGTGTGGGAGTAACCAGGGTCTGACACCCATTTTGGAGCTGGAGGAGGAGGTTTGGCATGGAGCAGGTGCTCAGCAGCAGGGATGTTGTGGAAGTAGCAGCATCTCCACTCGTGTTTTATAATTTAGGACAAAAACTCCTCCGTGGGTACAGCTGGGTGCAGCAAACGGCTCTTTGCAGCATCCTTTCCTCCCTGGCACGGCACCCACTGCGCTAACTCAGCTTCCGCTTTTAACCCATAGCCTTTTTCTGTCCCAATTTATCCCCTGCTCCTCAAACACTTTATAGAGGCAGGTGGTATCTATCTGGCTTGTTCTTGGGGAAACTGAGGCACAAAGATGAGAAGCAGCTTGCTCCAGAGCTGAGGTTGGGAGCTGGGTGCTGTCAGTCCTGGTTCTGCAGTGTGGGTCAGGGTCTTTGAAATCAAAGGGTGAGACTCACCCCACACACCAATCCCATTGGGTTTTGCTGGTTTTGCTTTCCTCTCGCCTTACTCTGCCATATCTTCTGGTATTTGCAGTCTCCCTCCTGACTCCACCCCCTCCCTTCCTGCAGTGCCAGCTCTGCCTCGTCCCTGCAGAGGAGCAGATTCAGTGAGACCTCTTCACCTTACCGAGGAGAAATTGCATTAATCGAAAAAAGAATCTTTATTTTCATCCGGAGATGTCCATTCACTAGGAGAAATGCAAGTGCCGTCCCTGGAGGAGATGATACAATGCGTTACTGGGAGACCTGAGCCGAGCAAAACAGGCTCGATCTGGTAGAAAGAAACAAGAACCAGACTGACCGTAGCACGCTCCTATCTTCCTGCAATTTTATATTTCTTTTATCTTATATCTGCTTTTTTATTTGCTCTGCTCATTGTCCTTTGTGCTGGATCAAAGTGGCTTTCTGTTTTGTTTTATTCTTAAAGAAGCGTTGCGGATCAACGCTATCTAAATGCAATGGGTTGTTCTTATTTTTAACTGCTTTGCAGCATTTCAAATCTCTGGTGAGTGTTTACCCTTGGGTCTCTCACCCACTCCTTTTTTCATCAGTGCAGATAATAAGTGGGAAACCCTGGCAAAGGTGAAATGAAGGTGTTCATGGTGGGATGGAGTCAGCCTTGGATGCGCATCCTTGGCCACCATCTGCTGGCAGATGATGCAGATTGTCCTTGACACAAGGGACACCCCTAGAGAAAGGAGAATAGAGGTCCTCTATGGTGATGTGGGAAATCTGGGGTGATCATGGCAGAAGGTGAGGGACTTTTGCACCCTGCTTGGGCAAGGGTTACTGAAAGCATTTATACCAATGCTTTCTACCCTTTTCTTCTACCAAGCAGATGATGAGCGCTGATTTGGGAGGAGGTTGGACTGATTCCAGGTGTAGCAGCTTCCTGGACACCTTGAAGTGTTGAAGGATGCACATATTTAAAGGAGGGCTTGGAAAGGATGGCCAGGGGCAGCAAAATTGTTGTTTGCAGGTCTAATTGAGTGCATCTTTGGTGAGGAGGGCTTGCAAAGACAATAATATTGGTAACCAGGGGAAAAAGGGCATTAAGCCTACAGTGGGGACCAGCTCTGTGAACATGTCCATCCCCACAAATGCACGCTCAGACTCCTTTTGGTTTCCTTCCTCGCTATCCTGGTACCCATCTTCGTTCCCCTGCGTAGCCCCTGAGCTTTCAAGAGGCTCCAGCAACGTTGGTCACCGTAAATAATTAATCCCAGCGCTGTTCCCGGAGACAGGGCAATATTGGATGCCTTGCTCCGGAGACAGGCGGGTGCTTTTGCTCCTGCGCTGCTTCACCTTCCAGAGGTTCAGGGGAGCTTTTCGTGGATGCTTTGATTTATAATCAAATTCACTTCTATCCCTTCCTCTGTTTTACTGTAGCAATATCTCATCCCTTGCAATGGGGCTGAGGGCAGCGATTGCTTTTTCGCAGAGGATCCTGTGGAGTTTGTAACTCATCAACGTGCAGGTCCCTGCCTTGAATTTACCTCTCCTATGCGGTGTACTTAAGGGTTGTATAAATGCCACAGTTAAGAGTCTCCTCTTGCTAGAATTTACATCATTTGTTAATTTGTTTGAGGCTGCGGCACTTGTTCTTTCGCCTCTCATCATGGGAGAAATAGAATTACGCCAAATAATAATGCAAAGCCTTTCACCTCATTTGCTGTGAGGCTCGCAGATGCCGCCGAGATGGAAACATCTATTAAAGTGTACTGAATAACAAGCGAAAGCCTAATGGGTTTAACGTGCTTCTAAACAATGCAGCTTCCTGAGCAGGAAGCCTGGGTACTCAAAACCCAAGAAAGGCATCATCTCTCCGCACATCGTTCACCCCGCAGATGTAGCTGGTCCGAAGGGAAGGAGGTCAGAGAAAAAGAGAGGGGGAAGGTCACTTCCCATAGATTTACGTTGTTTTGGGTCATTAAATTTAGGTGGTGGTTTGGGGGCCAGAGAGCAAGCCAGGAAGGAGTTTTCCAGAGGGGATGCAAAGACTCTGTGGGTGAAAATGGGAAGGAGGAAAGGAGGGCTTTAATCCAATAGGAACCTGATGTATAAAGGGATAGAGGAGGCCTGTGCCCATACAGGTGTCCCCAAAACCCACTCTTGTTTAGGCATAGCAATGGTTCTCTGTAGCCTGCTCTTGGGAAGGCAATTGGCCAGCCAACATTTCCAAAGCTGCTTGATCTGGTGCGCTCACCTCTGCATCCCTTGCTCTGTTCAGACGTGGGTGATGGGGAGCGGAAACCAGTGACATCCCATGAGGACATTTGTGTGCTCAGCCTCAACTGGTGACCCTGGCCTTGGTGGGACCTTCATGTCTGGGCAGATCCCTCTCACTTGGCCCAAGACTGCTCCAGAAGCATTCAAGGGCAGAGCTAACACTCAACTGGGTTTCTCCTCTCAGTCCCTTTTCCAGTCTCTTCAATGCTGTGGGTACTTTCCTCACTCTGTATCTGGATCCTGGTCTCAGCTGTATCTGATGAAATCAGAGGAGCTGCACACCACGGGATGGAGTATGAGGCTCAAGGAGATTTGCACTGGTGTAGTAGACACCAGAGTCTGCCCCAGGCACCTTATGAGGACCCTAGGATGCTCCTCGTGACTGGGGTTCAGAGTGGGATTAGAGGAGGTCTGGGGATTTGTTTGTTAATTGGGAGGATCGATCTAGTTGTGTGGTTGATAGCAGACAAAAAGAAGCCAAGAAGTCTTGTGTAATTCAAGGATATGAAGGAGTTGATCAGAGCAATCAGAGTCCCATAGCTTGCCCTCTTTCCTCCTAGGGGTATTGAAAGTGGGCAGGACTTTGCACTTCTGGTTGAACTTCATGAGGTTGGTCAGCCTGTTCGGGTCCCTCAGGATGCCCATTTCTCCAGCCCATTGAGGTCCCTGTGAATGGGAGCATGACCACCATAGAATCACAGCATGTGTTGAGTTGAAAGGGACCCTTAAAGCTGATGCAGTCCAACCCCTGCACTCAGCAGGGACATTGGTACCAGATCAGGTTGCTCACAGCCCCATCAAGCCTGGCCTTGAGTATCTCCAGGGATGGGGCCTGCACCACCTCTGGGCAATCAGTGATCCATCACTCTCATAGTGAAGAGCTTTTTCCTCATATCCCACCTAAATCTGCCCTTTTCTAGTTTAAAACCATTCCTCCTCGTCCTATTGCTCTATGCCCCAGTGAACAGCTCTTCCCCAGCTTTCTTATAGGCACCTTTCAGGTCCTGGAAGGCCGCTATAAGGTCCCCCCGCAGCCTTCTCTTCTGCAGGCTGAACAACTCCAACTCTCTCAGCTGTCCCCATAGCAGAGCTGCTCCAGCCCTTGGATCACCTTTGTGGTCTCCTCTGGCCCCACTCCAGCACTTCCATGTCCTTTTTGTGTTGGGGACTCCAAAGCTGGACACAGCCCTGCAGGTGGGGTCTGAGCAGAGCAGAGCAGAGGGGCAGAATCCCCTCCCTGGCCCCATTGCCACACTTCTTGTGATGCAGCCCAGGTTGGGGTTGGTTTCTGGGCTGCAGATGCACATTAGTGGCTCCTGTCCAGCTTCTCATCCCCCAGTACTCCCAGTTCTTTTCCTCAGTTTTCCAGCACGTCATCACCCATCACCCATCACCCCAGTATTGGTAACTGGGATTGCCCCTACCTGGGTGCAAGACCCTGCACTTGGGCTATCACCTGTGTCAGTCACTTATCCCAGTTCTACATCTCTTGCCAACTGAGGGTGCACTCTGCCCCATCACCCAGGTCACTGATAAGGATGTTAAACAGTACTCACACAGATAATGTTTAAACAATATTGGCCTTGATTACACTGAACAGCATTGGCCCCAGTTATGCGCTGGTATTTGGCAACACTGGGATCCTGGCCCAGCATTGGTTGCTCTTAAGTGAAATGATTGATAATTTTTAGCCTCCCACGTGCCCTGGTGATTGGCCTGTTAGTGTTCTGCATGCTGTTTTACTTTTTGCTTTGCAGAAGCAAAGCGCTAAAAGAAATGAAAACCGGGAATAATTAATAATTGCTTCCAACGACCGTGCGCCTGCTGTGTGGGTGTTTGCAAAGCACGCCAGGATTTTTGCTGTGCTGAACAAGGCGAATTGAGGCAGAGCAACTTAGCATTGTGCTGAATGGTTTATTTTGGCAGGCGGATAAAGCAGACCGGACAGAATGACAAGTCCCGCTACAAAGAGCAGCTACCCAGACCAGTCCCAGGAAACACTCTGCAGGAACCCGTTCCTCAGTATCAAGGTAAATACCTCTTGCTTTCTATAATCCCCCCTTGGATTATTGGCCTGGTAAAGAGGAATTTGGCTTTCTGCAGAAGGCATTGTCAGGATTTCTGTTTACACAATCTGTTTGGAGAATGCTCTGGATGCTCCCTATGTGTGCCATTGGATGCGCAGCCAGCTCCGTCCAAAAACAAGAGTCGGGACGCAACACAAGTTAAACTTTTGGCTTCTGTGGTATTTAACTTCTATCAGTGAAACTCCCAAAGCAACCCTTCAGGAGAGACAAATCCCAGATCTTAAAGCAGCTATGAGCCTCGGTCCTCTCAGAAAGAGTTTTATGGTACCTATGATAAAGATATGCATGTAACAGGGGCAACAGAGATGGAGGGAAGGGGGAATTGATGTTTGATTTTTGGAGCTTGGCATGTAGCAGCCTACAAACTTTTGAGTATTAGTCCCTGTGTAGGTAAAGAATGACATCTAGTTGGCTTAAACTCTGCCTTTGCTTTAATTGATTCACTGGAAATGTCCTAAGCAACGATTTGGGCTGCTCACCCTGCTGTGAGCTCACCTGGTTACTCCTTGTTTTGCTGTTGGGTGTCCAGGGTCATGCAGGGAGATGGTTCCTTCACATCTCCACTCAAGAGCTCTGCCAGGCCCGGTGAGGGAACAGGATGAGAGGATTTCATTGAGCCCTTTGGAGAAGCCCCAAAAGTTGGCTGTGGTGGGAACAGCAGGAGGTGGCGGTCACTTCTGCCCAGGGAAGGCAGAGGACCAGTTCGCCTTGCCAACAGACATGAAGCCATGGTTCCTCTGTCCTGGAGCACCCAAACCACTGAGCCATGGGGAACACTGGGGGAAGGTTCCTTCTTTTCCCCAAAGCTGGGCAGAGGCATGAGGATGGATGCAGAGGTAGCTGAGGTCTCCTGGTGGTGGGCTTAGCATCTCAATCTTGAGCTTGCCTGCAGATCTGCATGGCCTCTCCCCACCTACCCATGGTGCCAGAGGGGCTCCTCGTCTCGTTATTTGCACGCTTTGTTGTTTGCAGAGGAGGATCCATGATCCTTGGCTATGGAGGTGGTGGGGAATCCTTTTCTCTTCGTGTAGTGCTAATGGCATTTTTGAAAACCCCCTGTAACTACGGTGGTTCTGGTCACACCACTGGTGCAGCTGGCGGTCTGCTGCACGGTGCTGTTGGAGAAACACAGCGACACTCGAAGTGTAACCGTGTAGATAAAACAAGTATCTGCAAAGTGGAAATCATAATCAGCGTTGACTGCAGTGATGTCGGAAAAAGCGAGTGCTCGGCTTGCAGCAAAAACAGGTTCATATTTCCACCTTCTTGTCTACAAAAAGGACATTCTGGGAGGTTTGTGCTCTCTTCTTGCACATCACAAGGGAACTAAACCTAAGCAAACTGTTAGTCTAGCTGGATGACAACTGTGATGTTCAATGGAGCATGTCGTGTGGTGAACATTGACCTTCAAGATGCTCTTGTTTAAACAGAGATGACCAATACAGAGTGTTTAGCTGTGGGAAGAGACTAGAGGGAGCTTGAAACACAGAGGTCTGGGGGAGCCAAAGGTGGTATGATGTGGGAGCAGGCAAAAAACTGGTGAATAAATGGAGAACAAGATAAAAAAATGTGAGTTTTATTGCTACTTTGCAGCCACAGGTTTTGGGATTTTCTTTGTACGCTTGTGGTATGTACATACATGATATCAAGTGGGATTTTCTGCAAGCACGTGTGGGAAATGATGGTTTCAGTCACTTAGAAGCACCAGCAGTGACTTGGTAATTTGGGCGACTAGATCCCTCATTCTCTCTGTTGTCTTTTCATTTAATTTTAACGTACAGCCAACATTTAAGGCTTAAGATTTCTCTGTCGCTTTTGTGGGGAAGATTTTGGCATTTTGGGTTTATTTTTACAAATGCTGGTGAATTTAATTACCCTCACCCGTTTTGGCAGAGGGGAATTGAGCTCAGAAGAAGTCACCGAGGCTGAGTGGGGCTGGAGGCATAGGAGAGGGGAGAGCCTGGTGCCACATAGCCCTGAAGTTTCTCCCCCGGGTCCTCTTTTCAGCCCATTCAGCTGCTTCGTTTTCACACATCAGCAAGATTATCTTTAAAAATAAAATCCCATTGATTTTTGCCCTGGTGAAATATTTAAAAGGAGGTTGAAGCTTCAAAAGATTAAAGCCACTGAGGGGCAAATTCAGCTCGGGTCTGTGAATCAACATCTATTTTGCTGGGCGAAGGTATCTGTGAAGGTAGATGTAGAGGAAACTCTCCATGTTGTAGGTCAGACCACGCCTGTCACCAAGCACACAATTATCCCCAGCACAGGATGTTTTCCTCAGATCTCTTTTTCTGGGGGAGTTGGTTTTTTTTGTTTGATTTTATTTTTACTTTCAAGAAGTTAGGTCACCCTGTCCGGTTTCTAAATGACTTCCTCAGAAAACGTAACTTCAAGTCCAGGGCTTGAATGGTTCCTGCAGAAACGCAAAACCATTTCGCAATGTGGTTTATGCGTTTGAAGTGGCTGAAAGACCAAAAAAAATCACAGCGCTGCAATTTTTTTAGATATAAATATCTATCCAGAGAGAGAGCGTGTGTCACAAAAACTAACTGCCATGTGTCAAAACGCAACAGAGAGGCATAACTCAGAGCTGTTCTTCTGAGGACTGCTCCGGGGCTGATGGTCCCAGAGCCTTTAGAGATACCTGGCATGAATCCCTGCAGCCCATTGGGTTCCCATTGTAGGCAATATAAGGAGGTTTTGTACAGTAAAATTGGGATATTATAGAATCATAGAAACACAGCCATGTTTGGGTTGGAAGGGACCTCAAAGCTCCCCCCCCAGTCCAACTCCCCATGGGCAGGGACACCTCCACCAGCCCAGGCTGCTCCAAGCCCCGTCCAACCTGGCCTTGGGCACTGCCAAGGAGGGGGCACCCACAGCTTCTCTGGGCAACCTGGGCCAGGGCCTCACCACCCTCACAGGGAGGAATTTCTTCCTGATATCCAGTCTAAATCTCCCCTCTTCCAGTTTAAAGCCATCACTCCTCATCCTACCACTCCACCCCTTGTAAAAAGTCCCTCCCCATCTTTCCTGTAGCCCCTTCAGGTCCTGGAAGGTTGCTATAAGGCCTCCCCGCAGCCTTCTCTTCTCCAGGCTGAACAACCCCAACTCTCTCAGCTGTCTTCATAGCAGAGTTGCTCCAGTCCCTCAGCATCTCCATGGCCTCCTCTGGCCCCGCTCCAACAGCTCCATGTTCTTCTGATGGTGGGGACACCAAAGCTGGATGCAGCACTGCAGGTTGGGTCTCACCAGAGCAGAGCAGAGGGGTAGAATCCCCCCCTTGACTGCTGGCCACGCTGCTGAGGATGCAGCCCAGGATGGGGTTGGTTGGGATATCTGGAAGACCTGAAGGGTCAGTTGGACACTTGAAGACTGTGCTTGCTGACTCAGACACTGCTGGATTGTTTGAGGTGCACATTTCCAGGCATTGTGCTGTTGATGAGGCTGGTGAATCCCCTCCTGGTAGGGACACACATGGGAAGGTGAGCAGCCTCAGGGGAACACTGTGGTCCCATGGACACCGTTTTCTCATCCCTGCCAGACCTTACCCACTGCCATCTTGCACCTTGATGAAGTACCCAATGGTCTTCATGCCCCAGACGTGGCTTCCAGGTTCATTTGCAGACACGGTTGTGGATCCAACAGCCCTCGTCAAGGGATGACGAGCAGATACACACTTCCTAAAGCCATTGAGGAGCTGGCTGAGGACATCCATCCTCTGAGGAAGCTTTAGCTCTTGATGTTTTCTTCTCTGTGCTTTAGTCCAAGACCAAATCAGGGCTGTCACTGCCCCAAGCCTTTATTACAAGTGGTTCTGCGCAGTGGTAGGGACTTGTGCCCAATCACACGCAACCGGTTTTGGTTAAACTGGAACAAACTGATTCCTCCCAGCCCTGTTTTCTCCTCTATGTAAGCACAGGATTTTATCACGTGCTAAGACACAAACCCCTTTCTTAAAATAGCAGCGGAAGTCTCCCAAGCACATGGCAACAGCACGATAGGGACTTCCATGTGACAACTGGGGCAAGGCTCCGTGTGCGGCTTTCAGAGCCATTCCATGGAGGACTTGTTGTCAAACTGCACCATCAACGCTAGAAACACAACGGCAGCTTTGTAAGGAGTTTTTTTCCAGACCATGGATAGAGAAGTTATTGCTGTTTAATCCCCAGTTCTGCAATTTATCGGCTGCTTAGGATTCAGAATGTTTCTCTTTTCTCTTACACTTGTGGAGTGGGAGCAGCAATATGTTGCCTACGTGATGCGAGGCTTAGTAGAGCAGAGCCTGCAAAAATATATTAAAAAACATAGAGAAAACTGGAGGAGCAGCAAGTTCCTCCGAAGTGCAAGATTTTAGGGAAGCTCCTCATTCAACATATGACAGAGTGGAGACTCACTCACCCCAGAGCTGGTCATGGAGGTGTCCTGGTTGCTCTGGGATAGACACATAGAATTAATTCTCTATTCAGCAGAGTTGCATTTCTGAGAGGAGTGAAGTGTTTGATTTAGTGAAAACAAGCTGGTAAGACACTTTGTTTTAGTTTTAGCTGGGACAGGGTTAATCTTCTTCATTGTAGCTAGTATGAGACTTTATTTTGAATTTGTGCTGAGAATGGTGTGATAACATGCTGATGTTCTGGCTGTTGCCAAGCAATGCTTACATGAAGTCAAGGGCTGGCTGGTTTTTTTTTCAGTTTTTGCCTGCACCTGTCCTTCCAGCTTCTTCTTTACAAGAAGTTGGGACAAGCTGGCCAACAGAAATTATTCCATGTCATAAACATCACATTCACTATAAACTGGGGAGTTTACTGAGGATGGCTCACTTCCCTCACTGGTTGTCATCCTTGGAGGGTCTCATCCATCATTCGGTTCCGTACCCCTCTCCTGTCATTGAACATCAGATTTTTGCTGGTGCACATCCAGTGACTGCTGTGTGAGCT